TGATATAGTTCTAACATTACGTACATGTACTTTTAACTACTTTACATTTCCTAGAGGAACCTTTCAATAAAAGGGGCCGCTACCGGCCAAATTTCGAACACTGTATTTGTGTTTGACCTTTACTTATCCTTTCGCTTGGGTTAATGAGGAGACATAAAGGAACATGAGGTTTGAACACTTCTTGCACTTTTAGTACTTAAACCCTTTGGAGACCAATATATTATTCATATGATTTATTTCATTCATTTTTTTAGAATGTAATTGTTAAAAGTGGGCTGTATGTTTTTCTGTTAATGGAACTATGAGATTTGTTGCCATTATCTTTTTTATTTTCATGTGAATGAAATTCTCAGGCATCAAGGCACCCATTACTAAGATAAGATAAGAGTTTATTCAGCTATTAATATATAAATATAAAATTCATATAAAACGGAAATTGGACTGCTATTCAGGTTACAAATTATAAATAAATTATAAATTTCCATTTTTGTTGTTAAAATAAGACACAGCAGATGGGTAAAAACTCTTTAAAAACCTTTTAGATCCCTTAAAAGTTAAGAGCCTAATACTAAGTATTCTAATTCCTACAGTCAGGTATCGATATCGTAGTTGGACATACTGTATTTTCCCAGCTAGAATAGTAATAGATGTCCTCTGACATTTTTATATGGAAGATGTATTTTAATACATTAAAATTTTAGATTTAAACGTGATGTTAAAGCATGTTATCACGCTCCTTATTATTATTTGTATATATGTACCTCTACATTCACTTTATTAGGCTTTATTAGGCTACACAATTCTTATCGCCTTGTGTTTATAATAATTATATGGACATAGCTATGTAGGGCTTGCGCTTCTGTGTATATGTGGAACGAAAATTATGTCCGACAAGAGTATACTGTATGTCTTAGCTGCTTGTAAATATACCTGGGAATCTAGTACATCCTAGGGAACAAACGTCCATAGGATATGTTTTCCCAGGAACGGAAATCCGTAGGGCACGGATGCGAAACCGACCCTCCACCCCCTCCCATTTGCGTGGGGTCCGGGACCCGCTGAAAGGACCGGAAACATGTTGGTGTTTTATAGGGCAAGAAGTGCCATTTGGTATTGTTTGCTGCTATAATTTAGCTATTCAAAATTTTAAAACAACACACATTCGGGCCTAATTAAGTCACCTTTATCCCTATACCTCTAATACTACTGTAAACTACTGAAAAAAGGCACAAGATACATGTAATAAATTTAAAAGGCTCAGTGTAATTGGCACGAGAACTTCCCGAGGGGGGGGGGGGGAAGAAGAAAAAATTAAAACAAGTAATATATTGGACTGTTCATGTAATCTTACGGTGAGCTCTCCATGGCTTGCAGCTGCCACCGTGTAGTTTAAAGCTGTGAATGACCGCTGGGCAGTTACACGTGACCAAATTGAAACGAAGCAGCTGGTTATGATTGGTTACAAAGAGGGTGCGGGAATAAATGGTATTTAAAACTCACACAGTTTAAATAGGCACTTAAAACAACACTCATTCGGGCTTAAGTCTCCTTTATTCCTATACCCCTAATACTACTGTAAACTACTGAAAAAAGGCACAATATACATGTACATGTAATACATTTAAAAGGTCCAGTGTCTTTTGCACCAGAACTTCCCCAATCCATATAATGGGCACATAATTTCAAGAGAGGACCATTGATTTTTTTCAGGGCAGATATGATTTATAGTTTGTTATTTCCGGTCATCACTACAGCACGGACGCGTCTGGACGATGACGTCGGGGAACAGGTGGCAGGAACTAGACACCTGTCTACTTCCAGAATATATTAATATTGACAATTATATATGTATTGCAAACCTGTATATGGAAATCATGGTTATGAACGTTTCGTCACCCATTTTTACATCATCAGAGAATGGAAAACTAGATAAAATACTTTCATAAGATTTTACATCAATTCACCCTGCACGATGTTAAGGTTTTAAATTCAAAACCGGAGAATTTAGGGATGGCTAGTTAGCAATGAAATATGCAAAAGCTCATTAGATGTTCTTAGTTTTATTCGTGCAACTTTACGTAAATGTTTAACGAGGTGAATTGATATTATGCAGATTAAGTTTATTTCAATCTCTTTGTTCTCGTTTACTAGAATTACAGAAAGATCAAAATAATGATATTGACCAGACGGTGAAGGTAACGCTGTGGTTGTCTTTCTGAACGATGACAACAGTTACTATAAAGACACGGGGAAATTCACCTCCCCGACCTCAGGGGTCTACGTCTTCCATTACCATAGTCTCAGCCATAACAAAAAGCCCGTACATGTCAGATTGAACTATAATGGTCATATAATGAATGCTGGTGCAGTAAACCGTCCACGGGATTTGCGACAGGCAGTAATATTATTGCTTTGCAGCTCGTACATGGCTGCTGATAAACTTTGATACCGTCCTGGTTATTGACAACATCACCTGATTCTGGTGTGTTGATCGGTGACAACTTTAAAGCGGGTCCTACTTAAGATAACCTACTAAATGATATATACACGTACACAACAACCTTGGCAGCAGTAGAGCAGGGCTGTTGGTGTGTAGTGGGGGGGAGGGGGGGGTTAATACATATACCATAGCAATGGTTCAGTGTATAGAAGCTAGGGGCTTCGATCTTTATTTCGACAAGTTAAATTTATCCAAACACCAATACCCCTATCATCTCTGTCACATTATGTAAAAATGGGTTGCATTCAATCGACGTCTCTCTATCTAATTGCTCATACACACACTTGGGAAGTCTATTACCCCCCGACTGTTTGAAAAGAGATCATGTTACATGTACCGTCCACACTTCTGCTCTTTTCTTTCTCAGTGTTTAAATGAAAGTGAGCACCGAGCCTAAACCTTAAATAATGCATTTCATCTAAACTAAAAATCGAGAGCTTCAACTCCGATTCAACAGTCGCCCGGCATTTCATCACCTATTGCAAAAGCTACAACACAATAACACCAGGGGATATACGTGGGCGGGGGTGGGGGGGGGGGTGGGGGGGGGGTGGGGGATCACCCCCTTACAGTGTATCACTGATATGTCATGCACTCAGCTAGTACTGGCTATAGACTTTGATACCGTCCTGGTTATTGACAACATCACCTGTTTGGGACGTGTCGATCGGGTGACAACTATAAATAGCATAGATAACGTATTAAATGATATCAAAGCGTGCTCAACGGCTTTGGCAGCAGTAGAGAGTGGCGGTCGGCGTGTACGGGGCGGGGCGCTGTGCCCACTCTGGGCGCCTATATCATTGCAATGGCGTCAAAAGAGCTGTACAGCGTTTTCAGTGAGAACTTTTTAACGTGTCATGTATGTCTGGAGGAATTTAAAGATCCGAGAGTGCTCCCCTGTTACCACACGTTCTGCCTGGAATGCATTGCTGACCATGCAGCCAAGAATGGTGTCCAAAACAAGTTCTCCTGTCCCGTATGTCGCCAAGAGGCCCCCGTACCACCAGGTGGGTTAGAAACTCTCGTGAAAAACTTCTTCCTATGCAAAGTTACAGATTTCATGAAAGACCAAAGAGCACCCGGGGAACTGTGTGAATATTGTAACCATAAAGAGGCCACTTTGCTGTGCCAAGGATGTCCAGAAACCAACCAACTGTGTGCTACATGTCGTGACGTTCACGACAAAATCCCGTTTTGTAAGGGCCATTTGTTTGTACCTCTGTCACAAGTCGACTTCTCAGTTAACCCAGCTAACATACGAGATCAGTTACGTCACGTATTAGATAAAGCTCAATACTGCGACAAACATGACGGCGAGTTGTTGACATTCTATTGTGAAGAGGATGACACCGCGGCATGTAGAGATTGTGTTTTGGAGACTCATAGCAAGCATGATTTCAAAAAAATAGAAGCTGTTGTAAAGGTTCAAAGGAATCTGATACAGGAAAAGCTAAAATATCTCCCTACTGAGAAACTGTCTCGCTTTGAAAAGGCGTTAAAGACCATTGAACGAACGGAAGAGAGCCTGACAAAAAATCAGACAAAGGTTCTTCGTTTGGTAGATTCTCAGAGATTAGCTATGACGAAGGAGATAAATGAAAACAGTAAAACTATTGACATGGAAATCAACACTTATTATCAACAATTAGAGAAAGACGTACGTCAACAGACAGACACTTATTTAACAAATGTCAAACAGTGTTTAGAAAGGTATCGAAAAGAAAAACATTCCAATTACACCGAAATGAAAAATATTATCGATGACAAAAGCAATAAAGTATCGGCAAAAGTTAAAGCACTCACCTCTACGCAGATAAAGATTTTACAAGCTGAAAATGACATTCAAGAAATGAACAAAATATCAATTCAGAGCATTCGTGATTTCGCTCAGCAGCTCACAGACACCGGTTCTGACATCGAGGTCATGACCCACTCTAAAAAACTCCAAACTAGAATTCAGGAGTTACAGACATTAGAACCAGTCTTTGATACCAATATCACCGACATAACATTTACACCAGGGAAAACAACAATGGACCTTGTGCTACAGTTTCCTAAAATCACTGAACCCCAATTGTACATCAAAACGGGGTCCATTACGGCTAAAACTTATAGGGGTCCATTGGATGCATATTTTGGAAGTTTGAAACAAGAGAGAGCGTACTATTCCGAGCTGATGGAATTTAAGAAAGTCACATGGATTGGTACGCCAGTGAGGAATACTTATTTCAATGTTCAAAATTCCATGTGGGATATCCAGTGCACAAATGATGGTTGTATTCTAGTTTTACACATTGGTAAGAAATGGGCAGACAATAAAGTTTCCGTATTCTCTCGTTCGGGTCAACATAATGGTGAAATCATGATCGGTGTGGAGAGAAAGGCGAGGTGTATCACTACGACCAGTAACGATAGATTCGTGGTCACATGCAGAGATAAATGCTGTAGACTGTATTCAACATCAGGTCAGGTTATCCGATGTTTTGGTCAGGGTGATATGGCTGACCCCTGGGGTGTCACAATGGGCATTTTAGGGAAAAAGGTTTATGTGTGTGATGGTGGTGCACAATGCATCTGTGCGTACGACATGAATTCTTTTCAACTTGTTAACAGAATTCCTATCCCAATGTGCAGTAAAGGTTCACTGCACTGTGCATGCCACCACGGCATCAATGCAATCATAGTCAGCGACTACAGTGCCCACTGTGCGTATGCAGTGACACCCCAGGGTGACGTCATGTTTCAATACGGAGCACGAAGTCAGAGTGGAAGTGGAGACGGACAACTGAGTAATCCACGAGGAGTGTGCGTAGATAAGTTTGGACACATATTCGTAGCTGACAGCGGTAATCACAGGGTGGTTGTCCTTGGTTCAGACGGAAAGTTTCATCGTAACATTTTGACAAGGAATGACGTTATTGGATCTCCTGTGTCAGTTGATGTCAACAGTAATGGAGAACTTGTTGTTGGAACTAACACTGGAGAAATATCCACGTATAAGTATATAAATTAGAAATTGACACCGTGATGATGTTTGAATTGTGATTAATATCACAAAGGGGAATGTAGTGAACACACTTTTAACGTACTTTAGAACCATCCAGCATAAAGACATATGAGACAATCAACTTGATCGCTTTTAGCACTTTCATCCTTTGCAGATTACCAAACAATTGATTTCATTTTAAGTTAATATCTATATTTTATAAAATATAATTAATAACAGTGGATTGATCTTTGGCCTGTTAATGAAATGTGTTGGTAATATATATTTTTTCATGTGAGGAGTTTTTATAGGTATAGGATTGATATGGTGTATAACAAGAATTATAAAGATTAGCCTTTGCTGGTTATTGGCACTAGTCTGAAATACAACTTGATGTTTAGAAGTGAAATCAAATGAGTTTTGTTTTTGTTAGTTATCATGATTATTAATATCATTTTGCTAAGCACTGAATTTCCGCTGTACAAAGGCGGTTGCCAGCAGAACATTTTTTTCTTTTCTGTAGTCTAAACATGTTAATGTCGACTGTAGAGTCGATCCGGACATAATAAAACAAATAGTGCAAAGTCTTGAAAGGACTTCAAAATATAGTGCCGAGTTAGCGAAAATAAGAGCAGGAGCCCTCCTTTCTCTGTCTGGGCACTGTTCTAATTTAAATACAATGTGCAGGACAACCAGAACCTTAAGAGGGAGAGGCCGAGAGAGGAATTGGGACATGGCAAGAGCGTCGACGTGATCATGAAAAATTAAAATATATTGATAATTAACTCGAGAAGTAACTTACATTATTTCCACTGAGCACGGTTCACGTGTACTATATCGTGGCGCCTAAAATAATATGTAAGTTACAGACTCAACTTTATACAAGATAAATTGTTGAATAAGCTACAGCAATTCATGGCTTTTATAAGTAATTACTTTATAGGATTTATCATTCGCATTCCCGACGTATGTGGTATTATTAAGTGGCATATAGAAAAATAGATAAACGACAGTCGGATTTTCTGCCCCCATCTTTCTACGCTTATGACTGCATGAGGTGATTGAAAAAAGTTGGGGTAAGCCCCTGCCCATTATACGTCACAATAAACAGCACACAATTGGTTTCTTTACATTGATATCGCTTTATTAATGACAAAAAAAAAAAAAAAAAAAAAAAATTCTCGCGAGAGGTGGACGCCACTTTTACCCATGTCTTTTGTCTATGTTACACACTATTTAATCGTCTAAATTTCCATTAAAAGGCATCAAAACTCTGATTCACGAAGCTTATGATAACAATGATGACCTGATTATTTTTTTAGAAGCTGAAGGGGAGGGGCCAGGCACCCCCTTACCCGTGAGAGGGAGGGGTGCACGTGGAAGGTCGATTTTACAGGATTCAT